GATAAGAAGGGTTATTGATCCAAGGCCACAGATGTCAGCCTTATGGATATTCTTCGGCAGGGCTGTCGCTGATATGTTTTGAAGGCTTATGGGCAAAAAAATGAAATAAAAAAAAAACCTTCAACAGCTGTTACATGGAGGCACCGCAATAGACTTCTCTGTTAACAGGATCCTTTTCTTCAACAATTGGAAACTTGATTTGCCTAAGAATTGTCAGAATCCCAACCACTAGACCATTGGGATAAAATGGCTTGTTTCAGTAGCGGATCAGTGCGCCCATAACCCCCCAGGACAACGAACCTGTAACCCTTCCCTAGGATCAATCAGGGATCACCAGTGGACCTCTGACACCCCCCCGCACTGGGATGCCCGAAGTGCACACACTGGGATTCGATCCTGAGACCTTCGCTCTGATACTATGTCAGAATCCCAACCACTAGACCATTGGGATAATAAGGCTTGTTTCAGTTGCGGGTCAGTGCGCCCATAACCCCCTAGGACAACGAGCCTGTAACCCTTCCCTAGGATCAATCGGGGATCATCAGTACATTTCATTGACAAATATTCAGTGAAGCGACTCCTTATATGCGCATGACTCCAGTCTTAATAATAATAGTCAATGCAAAATCCCAGATTGTCACTTCTGGATAATGAAGCCACATGTATGTTTTCAATACACATAGCTGACTATTCCTTCTCAAATCTGTGTTTCATATTTACTCATTATTCCAGGGATCTTTCACATAACCGTTTATATGGACCCATTCCATCAACTATTGGAAACTTGATTGGCTTAAAACATCTGTAAGTAAATTGCATTGATCGAGTAATCACTGAAATCATCCCCCTTAGATGTGCATGAATCCAGTCTTTGCTATGGTTGTTGTCATCTCGGTGTTTCATCTGTACCCATGAATTCCCCCTCGTACCACATCACGGATCTTGCGGATAACAAATTGGATGGATCCATTCCATCAGCCATTGGAAACTCGGTTGGCTTGGAAGATCTGTAAGTTGGTTGAATGTGTGGAATATTCACTGAAGTGACTCCCATACATGCGCATGAATCTAGTCTTTTCAGCTGCAAATAAACACAGCTTGTCAGTTTTGAATATTAGGCAACATAGAAGTTTTCTGAACATATCTGACTCTTCTTTGTCATACATTTGTTTCCCTTTTACCCATAAATACCTTGTCATACCTCATTCTAGAGCTTTCACATAACAGCTTGACTGGATCCATTCCATCCACCATTGGAAACTTGATTGGCTTGAAATATCTGTGAGTAAAATGTATTGGTGGAATATTCACTGAAGTGTCACCGACTCCCGTTTTCAGATATTCCTGTCAGAACATTATAGCTCATGCATATTGTGTAGGCTATAGTGGGGTAGCCCATAAGGGGTACAACCCAATTAGGGTTAGTACTTGTACCCAATTCATTCATAGTTCATTCATTCCTTGTTTCTTCTCATGGTATCGAGCAGGTTCCCTCGTGGGAACTGTTCCTAGGGCCCACCGTTTTTTTTTCCTGCCCGGAGCGCACTCAGCCCCTGCCCGAGTCGCGCTCCCCTCTCTCGCGCCGCCCTAGCGGCCCCTTCGCGCCGCCCTCGCGGCCCCCTTCGAGCCGCCCTTGCGGCTCTGTCGCCCTACCCTAGCGACCCCGCGGCCCCACCCTCGCGGCGCCGGCCGCCTCCCTTCGCGGCCCCTACTCCGCCGCCCCTCGCGGCCCCGATCCGCCGCCCTCGCGGCCCCGCTCCGCCGCCCTCGCGGCCCCGATCCGCCGCCCTTCGCGGCCCCTACTCCGCCGCCCTCGCGGCCCCTACTCCGCCGCCCTCGCGGCCCTGATCCGCCGCCCTTTGCGGCCCCGATCCGCCGCCCTCGCGGCCCCTACTCCGCCGCCCTCGCGGCCCCGATCCGCCGCCCTCGCGGCCCCGATCCGCCGCCCTCGCGGCCCCTACTCCGCCGCCCTCGCGGCCCCTACTCCGCCGCCCTCGCGGCCCCGATCCGCCGCCCTCGCGGCCCCGATCCGCCGCCCTAGCGGCCCCGGCCCCTGCTCCTACGGCCCCGGCGCCTGCTCCTACGGCCCCCACGCCTACTCCTATGAGCAGCCCAGCCGCCGAGCCGCCCAGCAACCGAGCAGCCCAGCCGCTGAGCCGCCGAGCCGCCCAGCCACCGAGCCGCCCAGCCGCCGAGCCGCCCAGCAGCCGAGCCGCCCAGCAGCCGAGCCGCCCAGCCGCCGATACGCCCAGCAGCCGAGCCACCCAGCAGCCGAGCCGCCGAGCCGCCGAGCCGCCCAGCAGCCGAGCCGCCCAGCAGCCGAGCAGCCGAGCCGCCCAGCAGCCGAGCCGCCCAGCCGTCGAGTCGCCGAGCCGCCCTGCAGCCGAGCCGCCCGAGCCGCCCTGTCCGGTAAGAGCAGCGCCTCTCTCACAGCACTGCCCTCACCCTACTGTTTGCACTGCTAGTCTACTGCTGTCATGGCTTCCCCTAGTGTCCTCGCTTTTGACGCTGAGGGTCGGGCCATTGACTTTGAAGTCTGGATAGATGACCTGCAGCTTTTCTTACAGTGCGATAGGGCAGACGGCCTCTCCCTCTTTGACCTCACTTCTGGTGCCTCTCCTGCCCCCGCTGCTGATGCTGACGCCACTGTTCGCTCACAGTGGGCCACGCGCGATGCTGCTGCACGTCTTGCTGTGCGTCGCCACCTACCTACCTCTGAGCGTGCGCACTTTAGCCAGTACAAGAGTGCTCAGACCTTGTACGACGCTGTAGTTGCACGCTACTCCTCCCCGCCACTGCTGCACTGAGCCGCCTCATGCTACCGTACCTCTTCCCTGACCTTGCTGCCTTTCCCACAGTCGCTGACCTCATTACGCACCTCCGCACTAGTGACACTCGCTACCGCGCTGCGCTTCCTGCTGAGTTCTGCGCCAAGAACCCCCCCCCCATGTACATCACCCTCTACTACATAGTCACCCGTCTCCCTGACTCCCTTCGCGTAGTCAGGGACCACTTCCTCTCGGTTTGCCCCACCACTCTCACCGTTGACCTCCTCGAGAAGGCCCTCCTAGCAGCAGAAAAGAGCATAGTCGCTGTAGGAGCCTCTCGTGGTGACCCTCGCACCCCCATCTTTGAGGGGTGTTCCCCCTCCCCTCTTTTGCCCTCTGTTGCCTCTGTTGCTGCGGCCGACCTCGCTGGTCTGTTGTTGGGGCAGCGTCTACCCCTAGCGGGAGACGCCGCCCTGGCAAGGGCAAGGGGGGCAGGGGCGCTGGAGGAGCTAGCGGGGGCGGTGGAGGCGGCGGTGGAGGCGGTGGAGGAGGTGGGGGTGGCGGTGGGGGTGGTGGCGGGGGTGGAGGTGTAGGTGGCGGCAGTGGAGGCGCAGGCGGCAGCGGCGTGGCTCGTGTGGAGCAGATGGGAACTCAGGGCCGTTCATCTAGTGATGCATGATGTTTTGTAGGTGTGAGCGCTGCACCTTCTGGTGAAGTTTGTTTAATTTGAGATGCGGGTCAATTTTTCTATGGTCGTTGCCTTGCCTCCCTCCATTCTATGTTATGTTACCTTGGTGAGTGTTTGTTTCCTTTCAGATATGTCAGAAGTGTGAGGTGTTTTGTTTCATCCTAAAAATCAAGCCTCTGCATAGAATTGAGCTTCCTTGTTCTATAAAGCCAGCACGCTCTGTTGTAACCTAAACGACCAGGATACATAGGGTAGCGAAAATGGAAATAGACATAAACACCCATTTTCACACACACTGACACACACTCACACACACTCACACACACACACACTCACACACACTCACACACACTCACACACACACACACACTCACACACACTCACACACACTCACACACACACACACACACTCACACACACACTCACACACACACTCACACACACACACACACACATATACAGGGTTGCCATTGTTGGGGAACGTAGTGGGATCAAGGGCAAAGAATGAAAGGCATAGCTATTTTATCCACTTTAAGTAAAGCCCAGCCCCCGAATTGCAAAGAAGCTTTCACAATGACGCCAGTTTGTGTCTCGCTCTTACTGGTTTCGGGAAAGAAATGTTTATGGGAGGTTTTCGAACCTCAGATCTCTGCTTTCCCAAACCTGTTTTCCCTTCCCGCGTTGACTTCCGTTGAGTAATTCGGGTGTTGCCCTTCGAGAGAGAAAGCCTGTGTTACCTTCACAACAAACTCCTCTTTTAGTCAAATCACAATCTACGAACATTTCGAAGTGAACACTATTTTTCCTTTATTTGGTGTAGGTAGTTGGTGATTTATGAGTGCTAATAGTCTCAGTGAAAAACAACTTGGTGCACTGCATCCTCTTGGTGCAAATTAACCTCACTAACCTGGATCTTACCGTAATTTCTTATGACTGCCTTATATTGATCCTGATGTATACTGACATCAATGGTTACGTATGACATAACAATAAGGAACTGTGATCTTACTCATTAGCGCATGCATCAGCAAATGAATGGTTCTCCGTCCGGGTCCATCTGCTGAATTCCCAACTGCTCCACACGAGCCAGTTGAGCATCGAAGTCAACAGTGTGAGCCTCTGAGCTGCCAATCTCCCTGTCAATGCGGCATGTAGCTCTGTGCATATCATTCATGCATTACTAGACGAGCTACTCCGTTGGCCCATCTGCTCCACAATAGCCAGTTGGGCATTAAAGTCCACCGTGTGGACTGCTGAGCTGCCAATCTCCCCGTCAATCCAACGTGCAGTTCCGTGTGCCTGCGCCCCCCAAGCACCCTTTCCTTCATGCCCGTCTGCTGCACACGAGCCAGCTGACCACCAAAGGTTCGCACCCACAACAAATCATGCATTACTAGATGAAGTGCTCTGCGCTCCCATCTGTTCTATTCCAGCCAGCTGGGCATCAAAGTCCACCATGTGAGCTGCTGAGCTGCCAATTTCCCTGTCAATGCGGCATGCAGCTCAGGTCTGTGCTTCCCAGCCAGCACACAGCTCTGTGCCAGTCATGCATCACCAGACAAATTGCTCTGCGCTCCCATCTGTTCTATTCCGGCCATCTGGGCATCAAAGTCCACCGTGTGAGCCGCTGAGCTGCCAATCTCTCTGTCAATGCGGCATGCAGCCCTGTGCGCCTCAGCACCCCCAAGCACCTCCTCCTTCATTCCCAGCAGATCGCCCAACACGCGGCCCATGGTGGGGCGGGAGGCCGTGGGCATGGCCGTGCAGGTGAGGGCGAGGCGAGCCAGGCGCAGCAGCAAGTCATCTGGAGCATCCAAGTGAGGGTCCTTGAAGGATGCCACGTCACCGGATTCCACCAGAGGAGCCACCTGCAAGCAGAGTGGGAAGGATGGACGCGTAGTAAGAATCTGGCACGCTACAGTAGCAGTGAGCAATCAAGTGAGGGGCCTTGAATGCCGCTACTTCGCCAGATGCCACCTGAGGAGCCACCTGCATCGGGGCATCATGATAGGGCACAGCGATGTGATTATGTGGCTTTGTAGAAACTGCTATGCCATTGCTATGCCTCCAGAGGAGCAACCTGCATTGTTGGAAGAAAGGAGGCCCGGTAAGAATCTGGCATGGAACTGTAAGGGCGGGCTCATGTCATAATTTGCCAAAAAGAGGCTGGAGAATGCTTGAGTGCACTTTTTGGGTTGGTTGCCATGCTTGGTTCTATGACTATTTGCTTGAATTGAGTCTCGCCTATTGCGTGAGGTTGATAATGTCATCTGTCATGTGAGCCAACCCTTTCTGAGGTGCATAGAAATTCAGCTTTATTGAGGCTACTGCCCGCCTAGAAGAACGACCTTTTGAAAGAGTCTCCTCTTCGAGCTCCCGTCGATGTTGCACTGACCTAGAAGAATAACTTTTTAGATGGCGCTTAGAAACACGATTTGTTTTTTTAATTGCCTCAGTGTTGAGCCTCACCCATTGCTTGAGGTTGATCTGAATGTCGTCTGCCATTTGAACAGCCTTGCGTGCCGTGATCACCACCAGCATCACCACCCCAAAGCTGCCATCAGAAGAGCGTGACACATGCAAAGGAAAAGAGTACGAGAAATGGAAAATGCCACATGCAAAGGAAAAGAGTACGAGAAATGGAAAATGCCACATGCAAAGGAAAAGAGTACGAGAAATGGAAAATGCCACATGCAAAGGAAAAGAGTACGAGAAATGGAAAATGCCACATGCAAAGGAAAAGAGTACGAGAAATGGAAAATGCCACATGCAAAGGAAAAGAGTACGAGAAATGGAAAATGCCACATGCAAAGGAAAAGAGTACGAGAAATGGAAAATGCCACATGCAAAGGAAAAGAGTACGAGAAATGGAAAATGCCACATGCAAAGGAAAAGAGTACGAGAAATGGAAAATGCCACATGCAAAGGAAAAGAGTACGAGAAATGGAAAATGCCACATGCAAAGGAAAAGAGTACGAGAAATGGAAAATGCCACATGCAAAGGAAAAGAGTACGAGAAATGGAAAATGCCACATGCAAAGGAAAAGAGTACGAGAAATGGAAAATGCCACATGCAAAGGAAAAGAGTACGAGAAATGGAAAATGCCACATGCAAAGGAAAAGAGTACGAGAAATGGAAAATGCCACATGCAAAGGAAAAGAGTACGAGAAATGGAAAATGCCACATGCAAAGGAAAAGAGTACGAGAAATGGAAAATGCCACATGCAAAGGAAAAGAGTACGAGAAATGGAAAATGCCACATGCAAAGGAAAAGAGTACGAGAAATGGAAAATGCCACATGCAAAGGAAAAGAGTACGAGAAATGGAAAATGCCACATGCAAAGGAAAAGAGTACGAGAAATGGAAAATGCCACATGCAAAGGAAAAGAGTACGAGAAATGGAAAATGCCACATGCAAAGGAAAAGAGTACGAGAAATGGAAAATGCCACATGCAAAGGAAAAGAGTACGAGAAATGGAAAATGCCACATGCAAAGGAAAAGAGTACGAGAAATGGAAAATGCCACATGCAAAGGAAAAGAGTACGAGAAATGGAAAACGCCACATGCAAAGGAAAAGAGTACGAGAAATGGAAAATGCCACATGCAAAGGAAAAGAGTACGAGAAATGGAAAATGCCACATGCAAAGGAAAAGAGTACGAGAAATGGAAAATGCCACATGCAAAGGAAAAGAGTACGAGAAATGGAAAATGCCACATGCAAAGGAAAAGAGTACGAGAAACAGAAAATGCCACATGCAAAGGAAAAGAGTACGAGAAATGGAAAATGCCACATGCAAAGGAAAAGAGTACGAGAAATGGAAAATGCCACATGCAAAGGAAAAGAGTACGAGAAATGGAAAATGCCACATGCAAAGGAAAAGAGTACGAGAAATGGAAAATGCCACATGCAAAGGAAAAGAGTACGAGAAATGGAAAATGCCACATGCAAAGGAAAAGAGTACGAGAAATGGAAAATGCCACATGCAAAGGAAAAGAGTACGAGAAATGGAAAATGCCACATGCAAAGGAAAAGAGTACGAGAAATGGAAAATGCCACATGCAAAGGAAGAGAGTACGAGAAATGGAAAATGCCACATGCAAAGGAAAAGAGTACGAGAAATGGAAAATGCCACATGCATTGGCAAACAGCACAAGGCCTTTCATCTGGCCTCCCCGCTTGTACATTATCCACCCTGACACCTTGTTCACCACCCACCTGTGCACGTCTGCTGCTGGTGTGGCCTTGTGTGTCTTGTAGTAAGCGGGGTCGACATAGCCTGGTGTGCCCATCACTCGAGTGGCCGTCATAGAGGTGCCTCCACTCAGCTTCACCAGCCCAAAGTCCGCTATCTTGGCCTGATTGTAAATTAAAAATGCATGATCACATAGAATATTTTGCTATCAAACTTGGGCCGTGAAATGCATGCAAGGAGTAAACCTTTGCATCACATGCAACAAGTTAACCGATTTCTATCCAACATGAATAGATCAGCGAGAGCATGCCTGCATTCGTGCATCAAGGAGGATGTTGGTTGGCTTGATGTGGTGATGCACGATGCCAAATTCATGCAAATACTGCAACCCCTTTGCCACCCCAATCAGAACATCCAGCCGTTGTTGCAGGGAAGGGGGGAGTGAATAGGTAAAGTGAACGTGCCTGCATTTTTGCATCCAGGAGAACGTTGGCGGGCTTGATGTCGCGATGCACAATGCCAAACTCATGCAGATACTGCAATCCCTTTGCCACTCCAATCAGCACATCCAGCCGTTGCAGCAGGGAAAGAGGCTGGGAGGCGCCCGGGCCAATCCAAGTGTCAAGGTCGTGGTTCTGCATATACTCGTAGACCAAGATTTGCTCTATGTGGCGCGTGGATGGGTTGAAGTCGATGCAATAGCCCAGCAGTCGCACGAGATGCGGGTGGTGCTTCGATGCCATCTCCCTCACCTGGGAAGTAAGGGGAGGGCGAAGAGCGGGGGGGAGGGCGAGTTTTGAGGCGCCTAAAAACTCATCTCTTTTGAAGGCAAGCAGTGCTTGCTCGTCATCTCCTTCACCTGGAAAGGAAAGGGAGGGTGAAGAAGGGCAGGCAGGTAAGGGTGGGGGAGTGGGGCAAAAGGGGAGGTAGGGCAGGGTGAGGGGTATGACAGAGGGAGTGGTAGCAAAAAAGGACATCATGAAAAGAAAAGGCTTGAATATGTACAGAGGGAGTTGAATAGGTATACAGAGGGAGTTGAATAGGTATACAGAGGGAGTTGAATATGTATACATACAAAAAGAACTCATACCTCTGAGGACGTTGGTGAGTCCTTTCGCTCATGGTGTTGAAGTGTTCAAGTCAAAAAGCTCATACCTCGGTTTGGAAGTCGTTGGTGAGTACTCGCGCTCGCTTGACTGCCCACATTTGAGAGCATCTCTGAGGAGATACGCCCTTTTACACATCGCTCATGCTGTTGATTGCAGCTCATACCTCGGTCTGGAATTCGTTGGTGAGTACTCTCGCTCGCTTGACTGCCCACATTTGAGTGCCGCTCTGAGGAGACACGCCCTTGTACACATCGCCAAAGCTGCCGCTGCCGATCCTGTTCTCCTCGGCCCACTCCGCTGTTGCCTTTTTAAGCTCTTCCAGGGCATACTCCTGGCATACATGCGGCCGTGCTGCATTCTTCTCAATCTCCAATTCCGTCTCCACCACCACGTCTTCATCCTGGGACAACATTGTTGCTGCTGCTACTGCTGCCGCTGCCGCTGCTGCCTCCTCTGGATCTTCCTTCATGCCATGTCCTTGTGTGTGCTCAGATGAGGTGACTGGTGGGGCGATAGTGTGTCACGTAACTTACTACTAAGTAAATCTCAACGTTTCGCATCAGCGGTGACATAACTTATGGATAAGTGGGGGGATATTGTGTCGAATTGATTCTGAGTCCTATTTGTTTTCAGATCTCAAAGTCGCATTTTCCCACGTTTCGCCTTAGCGGTCCGCTATACCTCGAATAGAACAGAAGCGAATGGATCACTGGCCGGTAGTTGATATGTCTAAAAAAAATCCTAGTACCGCTACTCTCAATACCTACTCTCAATACCCTATCAGGACTCTATCTAAAGCACTTCAATCTCTTTTCACTCTTCGTCCTCGCCCTCCCTCATTTCCCAAAACAAGCAAATACACAAGCGTATATACGCAATATGCATGACCTCCCTCGCATATATGCAATATGCATGGACGGGAATCTCATGATTACTTAAGGAGGAAATTAAGAGAATAATGGAAGGAAGGTAAGCATCGGATGGAGGAAGAAGATACAAATTTCCTGATTCTAGTCCTCTTTATAATCTTTACATTACCTGGTCCATGTGCTGCTTGTTTCTTATAGCTTCTCTGCCACAGCAGCACGCCAATGATCAGCAGCATCACAACACCCACAGCAATGCCGACAATCGCTCCCACAGGCAAACCACCTCCAGACTGGGGCTGTTGTGGGGGGTTCTGGATGTCGGGAAAAGCTTCAGGCGAGAGAGGGGATGCTGAGGAGGATGGGGCCGTTCGGGGGGTCGTTGGAGGTATGGCCCAGGGCTTAGGAGGTAGGGAGGGGGGCGCTGGAGGCATGGCCCAGGGCTCAGGAGGTAGGGAGGAGGGCGCTGGAGGCATGGCCCAGGGCTCAGGAGGTAGGGAGGAGGGCGCTGGAGGCATGGCCCATGGCTCAGGAGGTAGGGAGGAGGGCGCTGGAGGCATGGTCCATGGCTCAGGAGGTAGGGAGGAGGGCGCTGGAGGCATGGCCCATGGCTCAGGAGGTAGGGAGGAGGGCGCTGGAGGCATGGCCCATGGCTGAGGAGGTAGAGAGGGGGCCGCTGAAGGCATGGCCCAGGGCTCAGGAGGTAGGGAGGGGGGCGCTGGAGATGGGGAGGGGGGTCCTGTAGTGTGGATTGTGAGGGGTGGACGGGGATGAGACGGGAAGGGATGGATGGAGGCATGGAGACAGCATGGGTTGCATTGCAATGGGAGGGTGGTGTATGGAAAAATTGTGGGGTTGAAACGTGTGTTGGAAAGAATGGGAAGTACGAATTAGAGGGCAGGCATGGCGATAAGTTTGGAATGACATGGCAGAGATGCCAGACATGAGTTGTTCGCCAGAGATGAGAGACGTGGCACGGACAGAGAGTGTAGGAAGCACGGGGATTTAGCAAAGATGTGAATGCATTGTATGGAAGAACAGCCGTACTACTAAGGAGGGAGAGAGAGAGATATAGAGAGGGGAGAAAAAGGATATCCATAGCTTTGAACGTAGAAGTTGATTCACGTGGTATTACATTGACACATGTGGTGCAGAAGTCATGACATGGTGCAAGAGTAAAGATGTTTTGCAAGAGTAATAATGTGGTGGATACCTAATTATGTGATGGATAACTAATGATGTGGTTAATAAGTAATGATGTGGTGCATAAGTCTAGGCATGAGCATGAGGAGAACTCTAACTCGACTTGCTACCAAGCTGAGCCCTAGGCTCAGACTTCTGCTCATGCCTAATGGTCACTGAATACCGAAAATCCATTTCACAGAAAGTGATGGTCCGGAGATAACAAAACTAACCTCTTTATCCTTTTTTGGCTCACGTGGTGGTGGCTGGACACAAGTGATGCAGAAGGAGAGGCACACGAGGCAGAAAAAACTTTGACGATTCAGCTGAACCACACATGAAGTGATGTCAGGCGGGCATGTGAGTTCAGTCTCAGTAAGGTTCCTGCATGTGCAAGCACAAGAATCAGTTTATTACAAGAACAGAATATCGATGAAAACAACTTGGAGCAGGAATTTGAAGTAGACAGCAGCAGAGGTCGATGTGCGTGCTGCTCCTTAGAAGTCCTATCAGACAAGTTTTGCATGCATGGTTTCCAGCATTTTAGGGAGAAAACAGATGCGTTGCTTACAAGTTCTTAAGCTTGGAAAGTTTGCCCAATGTTGGGGGGAGCTGTCCTGTCAGATTGGTTTTCGATACATCCCTGCATGGAGCATTTGTTTTCGAGCATAGAGTTACCAAATTGGCCTTTCCATATAGTTCTAGATAGGGTTTATTAGTTATGTATTGATTAAGGGTATATACATGGAGAGATGCATTGGCCTCGGTTGTGGAGATGTTTTGATCACCTCGAAACCAGGGCATATAATAATAATTGGGTAGACAGGAGCAAGAACTGAACCAGAATCGAATCAAAGCGGTCAATTAGCCAAACCGAACCGGCCCGGTTCAAGCCGAACCAGAATGCAGCGGGGGGTTAGAGTTTCGCCTAATGTGGTTGAAACCTTTTCCAGTTTGGTTCGAACTTCTAATTTTCCGCCAAATGCCCTAACTGTCCAGATTTCTACACCTCTGTCGGTTCCACGCAAACCGAAAACGCGTCGAACGGACTGATGTTCTATGTCAAACCCACTTGAGAGGTTTGACCTAAAAGTCATTCGATTTGAATCGAATCATGTTTAGACACGCATAAACACACACACACACACACACACACACACACACACACACACACACACACACACACACACACACACACACACACACACACACACACACACACACACACACACACACACACACACACACACACACACACACACACACACACACAAACGAACTAGTTCGGGTCAAACCAAACCTAAGTTCGATACTATGCTCAAGTCTACAGTTGGGTTAACCAGATTGACCAAAAGGATTTAGGAATCACCCAACTCAAAGTGCATTCAGCGTTTGGCTAACGCTTGACAGCATTCAGCGTTTGGCTAATGCTTGACCGCAAGCTGTGAGTCACTTGACACTGTGAGTCACTTGACTTGCTGTACAGTCAAGCTTGAGCAGGCAATAAACTGAAACTATCTGCTAAATCTCCTCTTTTTCGATCTCCTAAACAACCTGAGCACTCCAAGAAAACACAGCTCATGTCATAGCCTCATTTGTTATCCTCATATCTCGTGGTTCAGATGCCACTTATTGTTGGAGCAGGGTACAGCTGAATTTGCTATACGCATGAGCAATTCTCTGGGCCAAGCCAGTACGAGCAGCCTGGTGGACGAGCCAAGCAGGCAGCTGACATGGCTCATGGCTCATTAGAATTTCAGACATGTTCCAGCGAGCAGCAAACATGGCTCATGGCTCATGGCTCGTGGCTCATGGCTCGTGGCTCATGGCTCGTGGCTCGTGGCTCATGGCTCGTGGCTCGTGGCTCATGGCTCGTGGCTCGTGGCTCATGGCTCATGGCTCGTCAGATGGGTGAGCCAGGAGCAGTCAGCCTCGGCTTGTCAAAGATTCGGATGGTTGAGGCGAACTGGACGAGCCAGGGCGAGAGTCAACCTCAGCTTGTCAACATTCTACTGCGGCTCATCATTGTCTGCTACATTCGCTCGGACCAGTGTATTTCGCGGTTCAGGGTTTAGGGTTTAGTGTTAAGCCCAGTCCAATGTGGTAACTAGTCGTCCTAGATAGGCCTTCACTGTCTGTTTTGTTGCCACATGCTCTCTCATTGGTCCTCTCAGCAGGCACTTCTAAAATGACAAATTTGTCTCCAATTTTTCTATAAACTTCAAATTTTATTGATCTCAAACTGAACTTGATCTTGCACACATCTCCTGCTTTTCCAGGCCCCTTCATTCTCCCCTTCGCCACATGCTTCATCTCCACTTCGCAAATTCGTCACGTTGTTCCAGGTTGCAACCATCCACTCCCAGGTATGAGCGTGCAGTCCTAACACATCCTTCCCACCAACCACGCCATTTGTGCAACCTCTCATGCTTGCTACTCGCACACCTTCAGTGTGCCACCTGCTGCTCTCCAAATTCCCTCAGCTCCGCACACCTTCTGCTCATCCAACCTTTTCTGTAGCCACCTAATTTCCATGGCCTAAAGCCTAGTACCCTAATTGGCCTCCAAGCCAACTTCACCACTCACAGGCAACTAGTTGTGAAGAACTAGGGTTTCTATTACAAGGCTGAGAGTTGAACGAGGTTGCCAATGGACTCTGGGATGCTGCCAGTGAGGCTGTTGAACGAAATATTCCTGACGAGGGAAAGCAGGAGCATTGGAAGTACATGAAAAGGATAAACATCAAGTTGAAGTTGCAAAGGATAGAGTTAGGTCTGCCAACTTTGGTGTGCATATCGACATGGGTCCAGTAATGATCGAACTGGGCATTTTATTCCTCCGCCCCTCTCATTATTTGGCCAAAATTTAAAGTCTTGAACTACTCGGCAAACGTATCTTATCACTCACATCAAGAGATCAATGTTCGCCTCAACTCCCAGCCCCCTCCCTCTCCATCCATAAATCTCCCCCCCCCCCCCCCTCTTCACCCCCTTGCCGCCCCACTCTTATCACGGCTATCCAAAGGTCGTTGTATAGTGCTGTTACAAAAATTCTGACAAAAAGGAACAGCGGAAGCGGCCTCACAAGTCGGGGGAAACTAGGCTAGTAGGAGATAAATGTTGGCGGAGAAAAAAAACAAAAACAAAACAAACAAAAAAAACAAAAGAGGCTCTGACAGGCATTTGAATGCCAATGCGGTTATAGATAGACACTTTGTAGAGTTTTTTTTAGCCTGAAATGTGCTCCCTTCACGGGAAAAACTTAGGGCAGGCTGTACGATCCCAACCTAGTACAAGAGCAGAACTGCTGTGGGTTTAGGCTGTCAAACATTTCAAATCAAGTGGGCACTTAGCAGCCCCATTTTATCCCTTTACTTCCCTAGTTTCTTTGTAGTAAAGAGTCTTTAGGGATGAGCAAGAGGCGAACACGAACGTGTTCGTGTTCGCCCCTGCACGAACACCGCCGTTCGGCAAACCGTAGCGAAAAAGGTGTTCGCCGTTCGCGTTTGGGCATCCTTTGTTACACTCGAAATACGCAACGGCGGGCAGGGGAATTGCGGGAAATCGGGGGGGGAAATATAGGCTGGATCTGGCTTGTGCTAGTTAGGGATCCATATTTTTGCTTATCCAGCTCGCCACCTGGATTCCCCCCCCACGTAAGGCGAAATGCTCTCCCCCCTCTAGATCAACGAAATTTGCGATTGCTCGCCACCCCCCCACAATCCCCCAACTTACGAAAAATGCGAACGCTATTCCTATCAATCCCCAACTTACGCAATTCACGAATGCTTTCCCAAACCCCATGCATACGAAATTTGCGAATGCTTACCCCCAACCCCCAACTTACGAGATTCTGCAGTATTACTGTCTAATCCCTTCCCGACAACCTAAATCTCACCTACCCAAGTCTAGTCAGACTAACCTAAGGTAACAATTTACTTACGCTAAGTCCTAATGAGGTGATAATGGCGTGATGTGTGGGGGCCGTGGTAGTAATGGCTGCTGCTGAATAGTGCGACTAAGTTTGAGCTCAAATTTGAGCTCAAACAGAATGTCCCGCAACCTAGATTGTAGATCGCGGGACAGTCGCGACGAACACATTCGTGTTCGTTTTTGCCCCGAAACGAACACGAACGTGTTGGTGTTCGTCGTGGCTCGGCACCCACGACGAGACGAAGACCGAACGTGTTCAGGCTAACACCGAACACGTTCGCCACGAACATTTTTAGCAAAAAAAAAAATACTGTTCGGTTCGCCTCGAATTTGTTACCTTGCTCAACCCTAACTAAAGACCATGTGCCTTGTTTTCGTATCCATCAACTTTTTGTTGCTTATTTGACATGGTATCAGGGCTACTGAATTCTGCTATTGCAAAATTCAATCCTTGGCCTCGCAATGTATCTTTCCTCTTGGCATTTGGTTTTGCAATTTGAATTTCTCTCTGTGCACCGGTCAAGACCGCAATCTACTTCTCGCTTCACGCTCGTCACAATTTCGGCGCCAGCTCACTTCCTCTTACTATCACTAAAAAAAGATTCAGGAATCGCCTTATCGTTGCACATTTCCTGTTCTCTCATTTTTAGAAGCAGCACA